CTTTAGGAGTCTCTCTCTCTCTCTCTAAAGGGGTTCTCTTTAGGAGTCTCTCTCTCTCTCGTAAAGGGGGTTCACGGTCTCTCCTCACTTTGGGGGTCTCTCTCTCTCCTCCCTTTAGGGCTCTCTCTATGGTCTCTCCTCACTTTGGGGGTCTCTCTCTCTCCTCCCTTTAGGGCTCTCTCTACGGTCTCTCCTCTCTTTAAGGATATCTCTTTAGGGATCTCTCCCTTTCTCCTCCCTTTAGGGCTCTTTCTACCTCTCCTCGGTTCAGGGATTTTTTTTCCCTTTTTTTTTTTTGGATTGTCAACGGCAATTTCATGAGAGTGAGAAATTACAAAGTACCAATAGCAAAAGAAAGGAAAGAGCAAAGAAGGAAAACAAAGGAGGAAAGAGACAACGAAAGGGGAAAAGAGAAAAAGGAAAAACTACGAAGATCCAAACTCAGTAAGACCATTAACATCGCCATTCCTCTCTCTTTGTTGATGTGCTAGAAATGGACCTTTTTAGTACAAATTGCCAAGCAAATCTCATCCAAAATCATGGTCCATACCCACGGAGTTAAAGAGGGGTTTGAGCACCATCTGATTGCATTAGCGGAATACCTTTTAATAATAATTTATTCATGTTCATGCGATAGCCGAGATACCTCTGCTTTTAATTCACCCTCATCGATATTACAAAACAATAAATCCCCGGAGTACGAGAAGATGAAATTGCCTTCATGATCTCTAAGAATCCCACCAAAACCTGCCTTACAGGGAAAATCATATAACCTTTTACTATGGAAGATAACTATATCTCAAGACAAAGATAGTTCCAATGATGAAAATTCCTCCGGTTGATAATATTGACCGTGAGATATATAGATATGATGAATAAATTGCATATAATACGATCATTTATCTTTGTTACAAGGAGGTCACAATTGCTACAAGCCAATTAGACGTCATATTAGATGTCTTTGTGTTATAAAGTTTGAGAATGATTTTTTGAATTTTAAGTTTAGTCAATGATATAAGCATAACCATTCGACTTTTTTGTACTAAAAGTAATTAGTATATTTTTTTTCAAAGAAAAAAAAAAAAATTGAAGTCTTTAAAATAGTGCAGCTTGTAACACAATTTTTAGAGCATCAATTTCCAAGATTTTCTAGTAATATACTGTAAGGGCATTTTCTTTTGGTATAACCGTATAAAGAGGTCATAATCACTTTAAATCACCAAATTTCAAATCCTAAAGGTTATGATGAGTTTTGAAGCTCGAGAATTTTTCTTTTGAACGGGGGCTTGGTCAATGATATATCTCTAATCATTCGGTTTTAATCTAACGACCACTAGTAATTGTAACCTCTTTGTGCAAAGGATATATTTTATTCTATATTCTTTCTAATATATTTGCTTGATATGCAAGGAACTTTAAATTATATAACTAATGATGAATATAGAATTTTTAGGCCATCGTAAGTTTTTCGAAACTGCATATTGCACGAATTGAAGATGCACATTACTTCGTTCTTTTTCTGTTTTTTTTTGAAACAATCTAATCAGTTCAGCATGAAAAGCTTGTTTCGCCTTACTTTATTTGTCTTAAAGACACCTCGTACAAACCTCGAGAAATTTTATGTAATTTTTTTAAAAACTTAATATTTTTAAATTACATCACTAACTCCAATATTTTTTATTTTTGCACCTACAAATGAAAAATTCAAGCTTGCCGGACTTGCTTCGTTAGCGATTAGAACCCGGTTGGGTGCACTACATGTCGGACTGGCTTGATTGTTTAAAATGAAAGCGGTTGAACATATTTTGTGCGACCAGCTTTAGTAGAGTCCAGAAGCCGGTCCGAAACACTATGTAGCAGATTAACTTCATCTAAGAAAAATGGGGCATTTTTTTATATTGAAAAGTTGCTTTTTCACTTAGGGTGAATAGAAAAATAAATAATATTGGGTTGACACATTTGCCTAGAGAGCAACGCGATTTATGATTTGGATCGTCGATTTATATTGAAATTGGTGGGAACCGAACATGAGATGGTACAAATCTCGATCCTCTCCCGCTTAAAACCCCTACATATATTTTCATTTTTTAGTCCCCTCTAAAGCCGTATTCCATAAACCTCTATTTTAATTTTTATTTTATTTTAATTATATTTTGAATCATTGATCCAAATTTGATCTAAATCATCTTTTTTTTTTTTTTTTACCTAAGATTCAACTATTTCATTAAAATACTAAAAGAAAATTACATCATTAGAAACAGAAAGAGAAGGAAGAGAAACACCTCCTTTGACCAAGGCATCCGCAACGCCATTAGCTTCACGGTAAACATGGGAAAAAGAAACTGATAGGTTGGCCACCTTATCCAAAATCTGTAACCATAAAAATCGCAATTCCTATAGTACCATTTGTTCCTTTTTACACCATCAGATAGCATTAAACGAATCCCCTTCCCCTTCTATTAGACAAAAAGAGGCTAGGTTCTTACCGATGAAAATTTCGATACCCCTTAAAAGAGCCGTGAGTTCCGCACAATTTGCCGTAGCAATACCAATGGGGCTAGCATAAGTAAACAAGATATTTCCATGGCAATCTCTAAGAACCCCCCCAATACCTGTTGGCTCTGGATTCCCCATCGAGCTACCATCGAAGTTTAACTTGAAACTTCCAGTCGGCGGGGCATACCACAAATATTTGGGCCTAGAAGGTTTAGACCCCAGAGAGAAAAGGTTGGTCAGGTTGATCATGACATCAACCTTAGTTATGCCCCACCCGTCCTTATCCACCGAAAGAGATAGAAAGGTTAATAAGATGGATAAGCCTTTCTATAGACAATGCTACTCCTTCAAAAGTCCTTCTGTTTCTCTCGTTCCACACTGAAAAAAAGACTTATGTGATCTTTTGCTAGGGAAATACAATTTTTTTTTTAATAATAATCACCCCTTATAATTTTGGCAACAAGATTACTCACAGATGGTCTTATTATAAATAAAAGAAATTCCAATAAAATAAATATCAACTACTTGATGGCATTCATACAACCTAATACTGTGCTTGAGAATATGAAATAAAGAACAAGTAAATATAAGATAAAGATGATGGAGATTACCTCAAGCGAGCTTTTTACACTCCACACCGAGTCACCACATCCAATGATGCAGGATCTACGGTCTAGCTTCAACATCGAATCGGAAAAGTTGATTTCGACCAAACTATGTAACCACCCTTTATTCTTCACAAACCCTACCTCCAAAAATAACTTAGCTTCCCTCTAATTTCTACAACTCTGAGTTTCTTCTTAGGTCTAGGGTAAAAGAGTAGTAGCTAGAGTTGGGGCATGACCCCCCTTTGAAACTTTGGGATAGAGAGGGTTAGAGAGAGAAACTCAGAGGAGGGAGATTGTTATTATTTTAGAGCTGGGAAAGAACTCATCTGTTTATAGAGAAAATAAGATCTAGGGTTTATTTAGGATTTCCCATAGTTTGCCTTTTTCATGAGATTGAATCTGTACCGTTGATCAAGTTGACTTGTGGAGTGAGAGATTTGAGCTATCCATTTCATAGATGGGCCATCAACATTATGAAAAGTGCTTGGACCATTATCCCCCTTTCCTTAAACCATTTTTCCATCAATATATTTAGATAAAATAGATATCATGCATTTCATAAAAATAGCATGATCATAGTACATATTCCATAAGGATATGTCAAACATTATCTACCAATAATTTTAAACAAGATAAAGTCAATGTGTACCATCTATTCAAATTGACCATATCCCTTTTAAAGCATACTTATCATATTACAAAATATACCATGGTCGCTATATCCTTTACAAGATTTGACCACATGCCTCAAATCAAAATTACCATAATATTAATGACCTCAATCACAAAAAAACAAGAGGAATCCAAAGGGTGGGG